GATCGTGCCAGGAAGGTGAGCATCTCAGACTGCCGAATTGTTAGGACAAAGTGTTCTTGTGTTGAGGGAGTACTTGAGTAGGAGCCCACTGTCCATCTGTTTCCTTAATACTAAACCTATAAATATATGTACATAGATCTATTTCCCCATCATATATATATTTACATATGTACATGCCTGTATTTAGATCTCTATAAATGTCCTTTGCCTCCTAGTTACTTCCTCTATTCCAAGAAATTATTTAATGGCTATCTATATATGGTGGTTTAAAAAAAACATTTAGAAGCAAGTAAAAGGAATTCTGGATAGACTCTACCCACTCTGGTCTTGGAGCGAGTCATAGAGATTGGGTACACCGTACTTTCTGCATTAACTACTTTGCATAAACCACTGTTGCAACCTGCATCTTTCTGATCCTGCCCATGGACCATCCCCAATGCTCAACCTCAGAGCTGAACCTTGAAGGAGGAGAGCTGTACACAAAATGGCCTCCCAGTATGACTGCAAATGACATTTCCTAGGGGGTAAGTTTTGCCATCATTTCTGTTTTACTAGTGATGAGCCTAAATCTCACATTTCCCTTCAGTCTTGCAAACAGGAACTGGTGAGCTGGAGCTAAACTCTCGGCTTTAATTAAAGAGCACCCCTACCCCACATGCTGTGCTTACTGAAAAACGCACAGTCCCATGGATTAAGTCAAGTGTGGATAAGAATGTATAGGACAAACCAGTGGTTCTTGGAGGTTTCATTTTTAAACATTAAACTATACCCATGTTTTCAGAGTGCTGCTGCTGTGGGGCACAACTGCAAAGGGCCCACTTCCAAGCAGTCTATGTTTGTGCACCGAGGGTGGGCCCTCACGTGTGCACCCTGGCTCCGAGTGATAAGGCTCAGCTCTAACGTGCAGTAGATTCTTAATGTGTATGATGTTTTATAGTTCTAGATACTCTTCAAATCTGTAGGCACAGGTAAAGCATAACTAGAAATGAGGGAAACTCTTTCATCCAGTCAATTCTGACTCCTGGCCAACCAATGTGAGCAGAGGCGAACTGCATTCCATAAAGGTAACAAGGTTGTGAACTTTCTTCTCTTCAAATCCCGACCAATGGTTTGATCGGTCAGTTTAACATTTAATTTCACTGTTTACCTATTTTCACCACCCAGAGAATCATAGTAAAGCATAAAAACCAAACCAGTTGCTATAAGGCAATTAGCACTCATGGCCGTCCCAGTGTAAATAGGATCTATAGAGTATTCCAGGCTGTGACCCTTTGGAAGCAGATCAGCCCTTTTTTCCAAGGTGCATCCAGGTGTATTTGACTCACCAACCTTCTTCTAGCAGTAGTGTGCTTAGCTGTTTGTGCCACTTGGGAACACCTAATACAGCATAAAGGGCTATCAACTACAGCTTCTTCATCACTGCCTTTACAAGGATAGACACAATAAACGGTGTGGTAGTTACATAATTTCATGTCAACTTGCTAAATAGAATGTAGGGATGGTGTCTAGCCTGTCAATTGAGTCACCAAGTAACACCCACCAGGAGGATTCTGGGAACTTCCTCTTTTTCTCCTGGGAGGAGGACCACTCTGCTTCACATTCCTGTTGACAAGCCACATGGAGCTATGCTGATGGCAGCCAGAGCCCTGGAGTCGGAGGAGGCACGTGGGGACCCACGCCAGCGCTAAGATGCATCCACTGCCACCGTATCCACAAGACGTTCAATGTACTGGCCTGTTATATTTGTGCATTTGGCATCAGTGCATGCGTTGCGTGAGTCTGAAGAGGACTTTACAGACTGGTATTGGACATATAGGCTGATATTGGACTTGTGGACTTAATCTGGACTGGGCTGGGATGTTTTCTTAATATACAATTACTCTCTGATAGAAAGTTCTCTCTTGCACACACATGAGTGTCCCTAGATTTGTTTCTTTAGCCAACTCAGACTGACACAGAAGGTCACAATGAGATTTGGAAGCTGAAGAGTCCAGTATGTTCATCACTGACTCAGTTGCTCTCTTTGTTTCGCAGCTCGCAGTTTGGGCCTTATAAGTTTCTAACTTACTTCCTGCCAGAGCATTATGGTCTCTTTGGAATAGCTAAAACTAGCAATTATGAATACGTAAGCAAAGATTTTTTTAGCATGTTGACAGAATTCTGTTACTTTTGCATTTTATTAGACAAATACAGATGGTTTACCCAAGTGCCCTGGAAGCATCCTACTCCCGTGGCCCTGTCCTCACCATGTATAGGGATAGAGAAGTCTCAGGTCTGCCATGTTGTTTCTCCAAGTTAATGGGAGTAATATGCATCAGTCACTTTGCACAATGTCTTGGTTACCTGCTGTTGCCATCAGAGAAATGCCACCCTGGATGGCTTTAACTAACAAAAAATGTATTTCTCATAGTTGATGAAGCTCACTCATCAAACCAATTCTGACTCATAGCAACCCAATAGGACAGAGACTTTACTTAAGCATAGATGTGATGCAATTTTAGACGTGAATCAACTTTATAAAGACTCCTGAGATAGTTTACGTTTATTGTGCCAACATGGCCAATGAACACATGGAATTGGAGGGCGGAGAGAGAAATGGCTCGGCGAGCCTCAACTTTCTTGTCTCTTGCTCTTTGGTCATCGGACAGTGTGCGGCTGCTTTGCTTGTTCTGTGCCTCCACTTGCAAGCTACACTACCTGTGGGACACCTAACCCGTGGACTGTGTCGCTGTAATTTGAGGTTCCTTCAAGACCTGCTTCACCACACCATTGGAATTTATATCTCTTGAGCTGGGGACTGTCGGACCCTGTCATCTGGCTGACTGTTGGTGACCTGCCTTGCTGTTTGCTGCCTGTGCCCGGGTAGCCTGAATTGCTCTACAGAGGACTACCCAGCAGCCCTCAAGACTTGAAGGACTGCCAGTGTCTCACAACTGTCTCACGGGAGTGAGTTGCACTGAGCCATTTGTACTGCTTTATAGATTAACTTTATTTCTTATGTTATCTGTCTATATAAATATATATATAATTATTAGCATTCTAGTTTTGTTTCTATAGAGATCCCTGTCTAACATAACTCCAGACTCTTAATATTCCATGGACCTACAGCAGTCAAAAGTGGCCTCCTCCTTGTGGAAGGTCATAGTTAAGATTGGGTTAGGATGAGTCCACTAAGGTAAGCTTTAAAAAATGCAAAAGGGGCATAAGGGAAAATCTACTACATACATACATTCCTGGGGTGAGGTCCAGGTAATATGGCAGGGTCCGGACCCAATCCAGGGATACATGCAGCAGTCAACTTAAAAGGAGGGGAAAGGGAGAAAAAAAAAAAAGACATGGGTAGCAGAGGCACAGGGCTCTAACCCACCCAAGGGGAGGGTATTGTTTATACCTCCACAGGGAAAAAGGGACCAGACTTCAACCCAGTGCTCCAAGGCGTGAATGCAACATACCAGCATGAAGCAGCAAACCAACAGAGAGGTCTGCAGGGTTGGCCCCAGTCCCAACTATGTGGACCACCTCCCCACAGAAGAATGCACTTCAGAGGACAGTACTGAAGCTGCAGCTCAGGGCGAGGGATGCTTCTGATCAGGAGCAAATGAAGAGGGAAGGAGAGAGAATGGAACACTTCCTGTCCCACCAATCCCCGAAGATGATATTCTGCGTCAGAGCAGCCAAAGCACAGAGAGGACCATAGGGTCAGCCCCACCACAAGATGATGCCGCTCACTGACCCATAGTGCTATGGGGGCCAACACAGAGTGGGAATTATGCCTGTTCTGATCCCACCATACCAGGGCAAAACACTGAGGGTGTGCAACAGAGTAGTAAAGGGAGCAAAGCAATGAAGTCCCCAGAAAATACCAAAAATAGGGGCCAAGGCATAGCACCCCATCAGACTCGACTGACCAGAAAACACTCCTAAAGGTCAACAAACAGATCTGGAACTATTTATAGGCTTTGCCCTTTTTCTGTCTTTTTTATGTTTTGTTTTGTTGTGGTGGTGGTTGTGGGGTTTTTGTTTTCTTTTGTTGTTATGTTTTGCTCTGTCTTGTTTTTATGCTTATTATTGTCTCTGT